GACCATATCATACCATCCATGGAGTTTTTCAATGACACATTTTGAATTTAATTTTAAATGTCATCTTCAGCAGCAGCAGCATTGTTAGTTGCTATTGTCTCAGGATGATGACATCATAACAAAAGATGAGCAGCAACAGCAAAAGGCTGCATTCCATATAAAAATTTTAAACTTCCAACATTTWACCCGACATTTAGGATTCAACTTTTACATTAAGACTTGGACGTTTMGTTTTAGGATTAATATTTACATATATTTTTAACATTTAAATGCAACATTAATGAAAAAAATAGCTAAATGTAAAAACAGTGAGCTAAATAATAAAATGTTCGAGGGAAAAAGTTAACACTCAGAAAGTGAGCTAAATAATGAAAATGTGTTAGAGACATTTTGTTTTACAAATGGCATTCTGCAAATTTTGATGGCCCATTGGTGGTCCAGATGTGGTTTGCCTGATGTGGTCCATGGGCCAGCACCACATAAACCAAACTACAACCGGGCCGGTTGTGGCATGCTATCATAAACAGAGCCATTGCCAGACCTGGCCCACATCCAGTTGACAAAATACTTACCATGCCAGCAGTGCCAGCTTGACTCCAGGTCTGGCCCACATCTCTCTGCTATGTGGGATTTCCTAGCAGTCATGAAGAAGCTGCTGTRAAGCAASAGTTCAGATATTCTGAAGGGGGACTCTGTGGAAAAATATAAAAACATTTGATGTACTGTAGAGCACTCGCTGAGCAACCTCAGTTTGGACCTCATGTATGAGAACTGCCCCCTGATTCTACAGCATTAATTACTGCTGTCCACTCTTTGTTAGATGCTGACTACTTATAACCACTCATCATAACCCCACTTAAAAATAATCCATTAAAATGAATTGATCTTTAGGCTCTCTCTCTCTCTCTCATTACAAAGCCAAAAACATAGTTTTTTTTCTCTTTATCTGACAGAAATTAATCTACGGTAAAACGTTAGAATTTTACTAAACTTAAATTATTTTTACCCTGTTTTAGTGTTTTTTTTAAAGTCAACAAAATTTGTTTTACTGCACACACCAATTTATTAATTTTTTAAATATTTATTTATGTATTTATTTTAACTCTTAGGACCAGTAACTTTTTGAAGGCTGAACAACGTCTGCCCGTAGTGACTGATGAATAACATAATGAGTCTTAACAAGACCGCAGCCCAAAACCCRTTTTGCAAGTCTCCTTGTGGGTCGAAACAGGGCGTAACCTAAATGAAACGGGTGCCAGTTTTATTCATTGCACTTTGTAACAAAAAATATAGAAGAAGAAGAAAAAGGGATGGTTGATTCTAAATCTAGTGCACAAAAAATAAAATAAAATAAAATAAAATAAACTACTTGACCCGCCCTCTTTGAGCGGTCTTTGGAAGAGCTGTTTTCATTGGGACAAAACATATTATGACTGGGAGGTGTTGGGTGTCATTGGAGGACACTGGTGGGACACAGAGAAACAATTTTCGGGGGGGCGTCAGCACATCGGGACTACAGAATGTAACCCATGTCTATTTTATTTTCATTATTTACAAAACTGAAATAAAAAAAAAGGTAGTCCACAAACAGATAATGAGAGATTATCAACCGACGGAGCAGAACAACAGAAGTTTCTCAGATTCTGAGCTTCCCTTTGTTTTAGATTATTAGTGTCGAGTACATCAGAAAGACAATGAGAATGAAGAATTAAAGTGACCTTTTATAAAGAAGCAGCAAACATAATGCCCCTCAAAGACATTACTCCCACTCTCTGAGACTTGTTCCACTAGACATCACAACATCTCACTTCTGTGGCCCTCAAGATTAGTTTTTATCTCCCCCAAAGTCCTCTGGGCTGCTTGGAATTCTAAACCATGTCTTTGTGTTTGCTTTGAGTTGGCTCAAAAAAAAAAAAAAGACCAGAAGAAATGATGTGAAGGTTGGGAGACACTGGTAAGAGTCTAAACAGATGGAGCAAAACACAGATGAACTGTTTTAACAGTACAAGCCTTGGAAACTGCTCTAAGAGCTCAAATAGAGAACATTTTTTCCTCCTTTTTTTTTTTTTTTGAAGGACGGAACACAGCCGCGATGTGAACTGAACAACTGCTCCTCCTCGAGGACAGCACACACAGACACTGGACCAAATGTTACACAACACTTTTGCACAACAACACTTACAGTCATACTTAATGGTAGCAACTAGAGCTGGGAGTTGCATTTAAGCAAACACAATAACAAGCTCCATCAGGCTCAAACCGCATACACAAAACATCACTCCTACTGTCTGAAATAGGCTCCGTTTTTTTTTTTCTTTCTTATTTGTGGTTTCATTGCACAACATAACAAAAAACAAAACCCACTCACATMCTCTACATTCCAACTAAATGTTTGAGCTCGGGACTGCAGGCCTGGAAACTGAGAAAATAAAACCTTTAAAAAAAAAAGATGTCTGAAATGTTGGGTATTTTCCAGGTCTGCCTGGTGTTGAAAATTTGAAAGCCAAAAAAAAATATAAGAGCAACATAGTAGAGTTTTAAAGTTCTGTGAGAGGATGTGACCTGTAGGGGTTGAAGGGGCATGTTGGGGGCAGGAGGAGGAGGAGGAGGGGCAGTGGGAGGGTGGCGGTGATGATGACGATGTGATCCGATGCGCCGGCGGCTGCGGAGTTTTACTTGTACGGCCGAAGGAAAGCTGAGACTTTGCTGCTTATGAGGCGTATGAAGGAGCGGGGAAGCATCTCGTTGGACTCCCGAGTGGTGTACTTAAAGTAGTGGTTTGGGTTGGCCAGCACATCAAAAAGAGTCTTAATCAGTTTTTTATCCTGCGGAAAGAACAAACAGGCTTCAGACACTCACTCAAACACAACCACGTTCCTAAATCTCTCACACAAGCCTTTGAAACAAAATTACACAATCGAACGACAACATTAACAAACCTTCCCAGCAGTAATATTTAGTCTGACTCAGGTTTATTGACAGCAGCTTTGTTCAGCCTCACAAAGACTTTAGTAAAGGGCTTAAAGCTTAACTGAATCACCCCGACTGATTCACGTATAAACAAACAGGGAGAGTGCCGATAAGAGGGACAAAAAAACTGAGCCGACCTTAAGGATTTCTTGATGATTTTCTGAGGCGTAGAGTCTTCCGTCCCTCACGATGTCTTCTACGAGCTGCTCGTAGTCCTCTGAAATCCACAGAAACGACCAAAGATCATTTCAGCAAAACAACTCAAGGCATAGTAGAAACAAACAAACAAAAAATTCAAAATTAGCTGGTGAAATAATAGAATCCACAGACAAAGCCATATGTGTGAGTAAGAACCTTTGACTAATGGGATGTTTCAGACCATTAAACGTGAAGAAGAGCTACAATGAATCATAGAAAGAATGTGTTGGCAAGGGAGGGAACCAAATTAAACACTCCTTTTTTTCTAGTTTCACTAAAGTGAATAACACATATTTAAATATTGACTCGAGATATTTTTAGTTATTATGACAATCAGCCTAATGTATAAAAACACTTGTGCCATAGAGGTAATTACACAGACTGGCCCTTTAGTTCTGATTTTGCTTCTTTTGTTTGTGGTTTGGGAATTAGCCTTAATCTGGTTATCAGGGGATTCTTGATTAAATTTAGAGTAGAAGATTTTAGAGGCCATTTTAACTCTTCATCAGTTTTTTTTAGAATAGTATATCAGTGTTGAGTGTCTGGCTGCAGGACTGCTGATGGCACAAATGGGAACACTTGCTCTGCTTTAACATTTAGGTTAATGACACTTTCTCTAAAAGTTTCTACTTTTGTTAGTCCGAGCAATTCCCAGAGGCTTTTCAATGAATGAGAGTTTTAGAATACGCATAATAAGGTAGTTGATTTAGGAGACAGATTCAATTTAGGAGCAGCAGAGCAAAAATAAACTTTTGTGAAGAAGCCTACTAGAAACTCATCAGTTAGTCTTTCAGATGAGATCAAAGTGCTAAAGAACCTGCTGACTCACCAATATATATAACTATATATA